GACACTAATTTAGCATAGGCAAGTTAACCCAAACAAACCTCAATTTCCTCAAGCTTAAAATGAGGATAATAATGATACCACTTCATATAGAGTATTGTTGTGTGTATTAAATGAATATTTATCTCTCTTTATACAAAACAAGGTGTTTGATTAATGAGTATTCAAAAATGTTAACAACTATAATTTTTATAAGGATGATGATAAAAGCATTAAGCATGATGCTTTCTGGCCTCCAACCTAAGTCACTCAGTATTTGCTATTCCTGTGCTCCTTTTGCCTGCTGTGGCTCCAGTTCTTTCTTCTTCCCAACTCAGCAAAAGCAAATTCTATTTATCCTTCAAGACCTGGGTCTAATGTGCTTTCATTTAAGATTTCACTGGTTCTTCAATGTGAAGTAAGTGTCCTTTCCTCTCATCTCCCATAGTGATGTTTCCGTAACTCTCTCACTGCACTTTTCAGAGTCAGCCTATTTAGTTCTGTAGTCTGTCTTATTTTCTATTAGCTTAGTGGTACTCTCAGGGAGATTTTCATTTTATTTATCTTGAGCTTAATCTGAGGACATGATTTCTCACACTAGGCACATTAGACACCTCTTGCTGCAACATTGCTGTGTAGAAAATTAACCCTGAGCTCGGTAGCTGAACACAAGTACCTTATTTTTCTTGCTCATAGGTCATTGGCTCTGATGCAACTCAGGCTCTGGGCTCCAGACAGCAAGCACAAGGCTCCAGGCTGCGCATCTCTCTATGTGTCTCTTATCCACCTTAGTTTGGTGGTTAGACATTAGAACCTGGAAAATGTTCTAATGTCTTAGGACTAATGGTGAGAACACATGAAAATGAGTAGAGGTATGCAATGGGAGCAACTGGCACACTGTAGCACCTGCCCAAGATCACTGGTCAAAGCAAGTCCCATGGCTCAGCAACTATCAGTGAGAGAGGAAGCCAATATGACCCACTGTGCAGTGGGTGGTCCTGCAAGGCAAAGTGCAAAGGAAATAACTGGGTAATTATGTTACCTGGAAAGGAGTAAAGACTAAAGAATAGTGCAACCTATCATCCTCTGTTCGTTCTAGAACTGCTTTTTTAAAGGACAGGAGTTCCCTGTAGTGGTCTTTGGAAAAGCAGGTCTGAGGCAGTGAGGAATCATTGACTAAGATTTTAGGACAGTAAAATGACAGGTTTTACATATTAGAAGGTCTTTCTGGGAGGTGTGGAGAGCATGGACTAGAATGTAAAGGCAAACTAGCTACTAAGGAAATAATTACAAGACCTCTCAGTAACAAGCAAATATATTGTGAGGCTGTAGGGCTGGTGATAATGGGATAGATCGTATAGCTCTTTAAGTAGTGAAATTGGATGGACTTATAAAATATTAATTGAATAGGTGATGTGAGCAAAGGAGGGAGATACTGACAGTAGCTCCAAAGATTATACTAGGGTGGTATCATTCATGTATAGAAAGCCACATCACTAATACTATATTTTTCAGATGATTATGTAAGTTAAGTACAATAGACAATATAGAGCATATCTTACCCTAATAACATCTTCAGTGTAGACATATTACAAAGCACTTTCACACACCTTTTATAGTCACAGGAACTTTGTGCATTCGTATTGTTACCATTTCTTGTAACAAATAAATTAAAGTGCAAAGAACTTACAGGGATTTCTGAGCAAATAACTTTAGATAAATGGAGACTAAATTCATGTTTCCTGATCCAGATTCTTCCCACCATTCCATTATGTATTTTATTTCTTCCATCTGTAAAATGAGAAAAATGACTGTGGTCTAACTTGGCAGATAAATTTAAAATAAAATGAGATATTAGAAAAGCTCTGGTGAGCAATAATTATAATCTCTATCTCCAGTAATACTCTTCTAAATTAGATATTCTATTATTTTCCTTATAGTTTTTATTGACCTTTTCATTGTTTCCTCCCTCTTGTAGCAGTTACAATATGCTACACCAATGCAGAAATCACATTGGATTTTATTTATCTCTTCCTTCATTTCTTCTTTTTGTCTTTCTTCTTTCCCTTTCTTCCTTTGTCCCCTGCATCCTTTCTTCTTTCCCCCCTTTCTTTTTTCTCCATCTTTCCTGTTATCTTTCCTTTATTTTTGCTTTGTTTCTTTTTTATAAATATCATTTCTACCATCCAACTATAAACTCCATGAAACTCTACCTTAATGCTACACATTTTTTTCCAAACATTCAGTAAATACACTTCAGTGAACTGAATAATGGAGTCCTTTCCATCTTTCTATTTCCCAGTGTGATAGAAAACACACTCACCCCTCCCCTATTTTGGAGACTCCAGAGACTGAGGCAGGAGGACCACTTGAGGCCAGGAGTTCATGGCTGTCATGCCCTATACTTGCACCTGTGAATAGCCAGTGAACTCCAGCCTGGGCAACATAGCAAGACTCTATCTCTAAAAAAAGAAAAAAAGAACACACTTTCCTCCCTTTTCTCCCTTTTTTCTCAACCAACAAACTATTTTTCATTTACCTATAATTCTTCAAATCCATCCTCAAATATCCTGTCTTAATGTCTTTCTTTCTGTGCCTTCCCCTTGTTCCTTCTCTCCAAAAGAGTTGTGTCCAACTCAGATGATCTGGCCAACATGTACAACACCCTTCTCCTTATCCACCACTTGTGATTGATCTTAGGGGGTTATTTGACAGACTATCAAGGAAATGGAAACTACTTGGGCTGAGGGCTTCCAAAAAAGTTATTTGGAAGGCGTCTAGGCTAGTTGCAGCCCCTCAGGCCTGTTCCGCCTTCTTCTACCTGAAAAGTGAGACATGACTCCTGGAGGTGGAAAAGCTATCAAGCAACTGTGAGAATGAAAACTGTACATTCTGGAGCATGGAGCCAAGCCATGAAAAGAGCATAACTGAGCTTCCACGGTGGCCATCTACTGCCTACTCCCAGGTTCCTTATTGTTAGAGATAAATACACCCATTGTGTGAAGCATAGTATTGCTGACACACAAGTGTGTGTCTTACTTTTACATAAATCTTCTTCCCAGGCTCCCATATCCTTATATTCCCACAATATTTTTGTCTCTATTTAAAATCCTTCTGTTTATTCATTTATATTGCCTGTTAGATTCTGAGCCATTTCCACACAAGGACTATACCTCATGTATATTTTTCCCTAGGGATCCTAGAGTGGAACCACAATATAATAGGGGGGAAGTGAAAGTTTTCTGAATTGAATTGAATTGGACTTAATTCTTTCAGTCAGTTAATGGGAAAAGCAATCTACAGCGGGTTGGCTCTCTTCAGCCCTTCTTAACTAGTGCTCTTCTTTTGCTACAGTGGTAACTCATCCGGCTGCATATACCACAGAATAGGGATTTGTTATTTTTCTGCCCTACATCCATTCTCTTTGGCATCTTTTTCTTTTTTCTTTTTTGTATTAATCATTTTCCAGTGTATCCCTTTGGACAATCCCTTATCCCCACTTTCAATCCAAGTTTCCAGTTGGCAAATATTGGCACATGACCCAGGCCCTGCCTCTCAGTATATGCCAAATATCTGGCCGTAGTAATTACCTCAGTTGTGAGTATGTGGCCCAAGATAGGCCAGGGCCATAATTCTGTATTTATGTTTTGCCATTTGGAAATGAGTGTGCTTTGTGTTGAGATTGACAATGATAAAGACAATGTAAACCTGGAGGTGCTGGGAATCCCAGGATGGAGATCATAAGTCTGTGAATGAAACCAAAACAGAGGAGAGCATAACCAACATATTGAGGGTGGGGGAAGTACTAAGTCCCATGAGTGATATTTAAATGCATGGGTCTAGGACATGATCCCTCAAATCAGACTGTCACTAGTAAATACTGTGTGTGACCTTGGGCAAAATTACATAACCACTCTGTTTCCTCATTTATGAAATGGAGATAATAGTGGCACTTTCATTCAGTTATGATGATTAAATGAGATAGCACATGTAAAGAGCTTAGAAAGTGCCTGACACGCAGTGACAGTAAATGGTATCTATTATTAAATAGATATTTCTTATCCATGGTTTTTGAGTTATGTACAGTGATAAATTATCTTTTTACTTAAGCTGGTTCGGGTTGGGTTTCTTTCACTTGCAACCAAATGGGTCTTATCTAATACAATTAATAAAAAGCTTAAAACCCTAGAGAGTTTTGGTTTATGACAAGTTAAATCTCTTTCTCTGGACTAAGGTAGGGAAGGAGGATTGAATCAACTGAATCTAGACCATCTGGCTCTCCTTAGTTGATGTCTATCAGTAACATTATGTGAGGACTCTGAACTCTCAACTCGTAGGAAAGGAGTTTTCCTCATCACCATCCTATTTATTCACTAAAATCCTCTTTCTCCTATGTTGCCAGTTAATCCAGCTAATATCCCTGCTATGGAGATTTATTTTTAAAAGTACACAAAACATATAAAAAGTGAGGAATCAAACCTATAAGGAGAGAGATAAAACGAAAGAAAATATTTCCATAATTAAAATATATGATGAGTTGTTTTTGATGTAAGCTTTAAACTGGAAACTTTTTCAATACTAGTTCCGAGTAAATGATATTATTACTAAGCAGCCTACATGCTAAATAGCATACTTTTCTTGGTGTAGATTTCTGGAGGGATATGCAGGGGATTTGCATGCTTAATTCCCATTAGCACCTGTCACTGGGATTTATTATCCCAGAGTTAATTCTCCACTCACTGCAGCCAAGAAAAAGAAAGCCCTTGTATATGGATTTAAATGAAGCTTTTCGTTTTTCAAGATGAGATGAATTTCATGTCTGTCCCTTAAACACCTGCAGTATTCCAACCCTAAAAAGTCAAATTCCAATAAATTTTTGTTGAAAATGTGTCAAAACTTGATTTTACTCAACAACTAGGAAAGCCTACTCATAATTTGATAACTTGGGAGGCTGAAGAGGAGAGCAAGAAGGTTTAATGAAGGACTTAGCTCAGTTTTAAATCCATTGACTCTGATTCAGTCCATTCAATATTCAGTAAGTATTTATTGATCACCTGTTATGTACAAGGTATTGTTCCAGGTTCTGGGTATACAGCACTGAATGTATTAGAAAAAAAAATTCCTCCCCTGAGAATTTTATTGGAGCGTGTGTATATGCATGTACATATACATATATATACACACACACATATATGTACATATATAAAATAAGTGTCATATGGAAAATCAAAGTCGGCAAATAATACTTTGGATGATAGATTGTTGCTATTTTAGGTAACTTGGTCAGTGAATGCCTCCCTAAGCAGTGTCATTTGAGCCCAGATCTCGGTGACATTAGTAAGCCTATTCTCAGGAGCCTACAAAACACTATTATTTCTCTCATGAGGAAAAAATGTGATGATCACCAAAAGTAGGCAGGATGTTAATCCACAAGACAAGTTTCATCTGTATTTGTAGATAGCAGGAAACTTGCCTGCTGTATAAAGCTGATCTATTGCTGGTGTTTTTCCTGTCCTTGGTGTGGTGCTGTCACTCTTCTCTTCCTTTTCTACCTCATCACTCTATACACTTCTCAAACCATTCTCCTGCCATCGTTAGGCTGAATTTCAGTATTTAACTACATTTCCTCTTTTAATCTCTTATTTATTTTAAGGAACTAATTGCATGTGGTATCTGTCACTGAGTACCTCAATGCCCCAAACAGGAGTAGGTGACTATTTCAACCTTCTTTAGCTGTCCTAGACTTTGAGGAGTCTTCCCCATTGAGCTTTTTGGGCAGGAAATCAATCAATATTGATTGAGTACCAACTATATATCAGGCTCAGTTTAGGAGCTGTGGTTGAAATAATGAACAAAGGCAAAATCTCTGTCTTAAAACAGTTAAATTCTAATGTAAGAAGACAGGCAATAAACTTGTAAATAAATAAACAAATAACTTTTGGATGTTGTTGATGTGATGGTTAGTATGTGTGGAGATTTCTTAGTATTTAAGCTGTTGTCCTTCTTAGTAAAATTGTACATACAGATAAGTATAATAATAATCCCTTGTGAAGTCATTCTCAAAATACTTGACAAGTTATTAGTGGCCTCAATACACCATAAAATATGGTAGCCGCCGGCCACATGTGACTATTTAAATTAAAATTAATTAAATAAAAATTTCCAATTCACACTAGCCACATTGCAAGTAGCCACATGTATCTCATAACTACCAGCTCAGAAAGCACAGATATGAACATGTTCTTCATTCCAGAAATTTCTGCTGAACAGCACTGGTCGAGATAGCATAAGGCTAATGGGAATTTTTCATGAACGGTAAGAACAGCAGTTTACAATTTTGGTGTCAGGCATTTTACATATGTTTAACTTATATAATCCTCAAATAACCCTATGAGATAGTTCCTGTTACTAGACCCATCTTACAAGTTAGGGAAGAGAGGCACCTAGCTTTAATGCTCAATATCAGTCAAGTAATAAGAAATGCTAAGAACTGAAGGCAGACAGTCTGGTGCCAGCACCTACCCTATTGTCAAATATCATGATATCTTGGTATGGAGAAGATGAAGAGAGTGAAGAAGAGTTTTGTGTGGTGGACAGAGTCTCCACAGAAATAAGAAGTGGCCGGTTTTGTCAATGTCTTTGGCAAATACTACCTTTCTGGATCTCCCTGATTCATCCAAGATAGGTCTTATTGCCTAGACAGGGCTGTGCAGGCAGAATCATAGAACGCTAGAACTTAAGAGAACTTTGAAACTATCAAAATATTTCACAAATGAAGAAACTGAGACATTCACAGGTTACCTGACTTACCCAGGGTGACAGTAGTTATGACCACAGCCAAAATTAGACCTCATGTTTCCTGCGTGTATGTGTGCATGTGTGTTTACACATGGCCCCCTTGGCACCAAGAACATAAAATTCCCTGATGTATTATTAGTTTAAAGATATGCTAATCTTGGGAAATGGTTTTCTTTTTCCCAAAATGCTGTGTCTGCGTGTTGATCTTTTAATAAATTCACATTCCTTTTGTCTAGTCTTTCCTTATTTTACCCACCCAGTCTTGCATCCTTCCTTCATCATGACAACAGGGATTCACAACCCGGCTACGTAGACAATTATTTCCCATAGAAAGGTAAACAAATTCATAGCAGCTCGAGTTCTTACACACACTATTAGAAATTTGAAAAACATGTTATAGGCTCCATCATCACTTTGAGTATCTACAAATTTTGCTTTGCATTTTTTTTCTAAGAGAGTTTCTTCCTTCCAGTATCGCCTCACCACCCTTGTCAGCCACCAAGATGCACGCAAAGAAAGCACTGTTGCAGAATGAGTTTTCATGGAGCTTTTAGTTTCTGTTCCACTGCAAAGGGGTCACACGCGCTCAGAACATAAAGCAGTCTGACAGGCGCTGACAACCTCAGGACAGCAGCGGGCTGGAGCACTGCAAAAGCTTCATGCCTTCTTCCCCAACCAAGAAGGACTTCAGTTCGAGCCCGCACCGGCTTGGTCAAATGCAAGACCCGAAGTCGTATAGCGAGTCCAGTCCCAGGGAGTACGGCTCAAGCTTTGCCGGCGCGGCGAAGAAGGTGGCAGGCGGCAGGCTGAGCTCCACTGGACACAGCCAAGTAGCCCAGGGTGCGCCCGCTGCACTCCTGGCGTCCGGGTCTGGCGCACCGCGGGAGGCAGGCGCGCGGCCACTCTCCGCAGCCGCTTCTTGCTTCTTCCTCTGGAATCTCTCGCCTCGGCTTCAGCGGGCAAACCCACAGCTGATCTCCACCTTCCGCCCTGGGCGCTGATCTCTCTCCAATCCTTGCTTACATAAGGCGGGCGGGCGTGCTCCCGCCCCCGGTTACCCCCCAGCGGAGTTGTGCTGCGCCCTCTACGCCTCCTTGCCGAGCGCCTTCGCGCACCCGTGCGCCCTACTCTAGCATGTGACCCTCCTTGGCCACCCAGCAGCGACAACCGGGACATCTCTCCGCCGGCGTGAGAACACTAAGATTGGAGACCAGAGCGCCTGACGGTGCCCAAGCTTCCTCCCTCCGTTCCCTCCTCCTCCCACTCCCCACTTCAACCCCCACCCCCACACCCGGTGTCTGTGTGTGTTCCTCACAGGCAAGGGGACCCGGAGAGCAGTCCAGACTCGGCGTGCGGCGGAGCTGCGGCTGCTCCTGCTGCTGGGGGGAGCGGCGGAGGTGGCTGCCTTGCGCCTCCCTGGACTTCCCAAGTGGGGGCAGAGCAGTCGCTCGCGGGAGACGTCAGTTAGAAGGCATTGGAAAAGAGGGACCTTCAAACTCCTCCTCGGCGTCTCCTCTCCTCCCCCTTTTGGCCCCTGCCCTTGGAGAAAGTGGAGTGTGGCGCTCGGTTGTCGTTATTTCTTCGGACTGCTTCGCGGTGCACGGATTCAGCTTCTGCCCAGTGGGGCTTTCCCCTGTTTGCGCGTCTCTCTGTTCCCCCCGCCCTCCCCCGGCACACCTCTGTCTACGATGAGGAAAGGTCTACGGGCGACAGCGGCCCGCTGCGGACTGGGACTGGGATACTTGCTGCAAATGCTCGTACTACCTGCCCTGGCCCTGCTCAGCGCCAGCGGCACTGGCTCCGCCGCCCAAGGTAAGGGGGTCCGCCAGGCTCCGCGGCCACCTCCCTTCGCTTCTTCCTTCCCTCCTTCCTCTCCTCCTCCCCAGTTCTCCTGACTTCCTCAATTTGCCTCGTTGCTCTCAATTGGAAACCACTCTAAATTCCACTTTCCCAACTAGTCAAGAAGCTTTATTATTATTATTATTATTATTATTATTATTGTTGTTGTTTAATCTATCTTCCGAGATGGGCACGAATGGACCGGGGACGAACGGGGTGTGGACACGCATCCGATCCGTCTCCATACGTGTGGGAGCCTGGGGTGTCTTGTGCACTTCAGCTCCACACACGCACGTTGTTGCATATTGTACACACAGAGGTTTGGAGAGACTCTCGGTGCGGTTCGCTCTGTGATATACCGTAGATGCACCCCGAAGCGCATGATGCACAGAGGCTCCTCGCGCTGTGCCAAGGCTGGGGTAGCAGGATCTTCACTGAGTCTCTGAGCACACTAGACCCCGAAGGGCGCTCAGCTAAGGAAATGTGTCCATTACTGTCAAGGACTCAAAAGCATCCGTCCCCCTCGCCTGCTGCTTCAGGTGCTGTGGAAATACACAGCCCACCCGAATCCGCGTACCCGGCTGGAGGCAGGCCCGGGGTGTGCATGCCTCTGCACTCATACATACCCCAATTCATGTCTGCCTCCCACCAGGGGACGTAGAAATGGAAATCCCAGAGCTCTGGGGGAACCGGCTGGTTGTTCAAACCGGATCCGAAACTCCCCGGGGTGGCCGACCAGTTTATAACTCTGACATTTTAATTTAACGCCTGTGAGCTTTAACATAAGTGACCGGAGCCCTGGGCGAAGCCGGGTTGGGAAGTGTGTGGCCGGGAGTTGGCGATGGGTAAGGGAGGAGGGGAGGCTCAGGAGCTGATCGCCCGGCTCCCTTCTTGTTCCCCTAGTTTGAAGTGTTAGCAGCAGCTCCCAGGCTTCCAAACCAGGGAAGCTGACTGGAATGGAGCGGAGAAGAAAGAGCCAAGGCTGACCCCTCTGCGGTCTCTCTCGGGTCACCTGGGCCCCAAAACTTCTGGCCAAGCCCAACTCCTACCTGGGTCTCTCAGCCCAGTTCAGTGGTGATAGCCGGCTCAGGCGAGGCGGCTCAGGCGAGGCAGCTCAGCTTTTCCTGGAAAAGGAGAGGATGAAGGAAGCTTATGCAGCATTCAGAGGCAATTCAGGGATTCTCCCCTCACTCTCGGTTACTATTATTTCCAAATTTGGAGAGTAAAGGGAGGCTCTACGGTAGCCCCAACTCCCCAGGTGATGTTCAGACACCCTAGGGGTTCCGGAGAGCATTCCCTCTGATCTTAGAGAGGCGCTGGGGATGGGGGTGGGGTTGTTGGAAGTGGAGGAGAGCGCCTAGCATAGGAGTGTGGTCTGGGTGGGGAGGTAAGTGATTAGCAAGGCTTTGTGAATTAGCGATAGCTTCTTCGGGAGTAAATTTTCCTGCTGCCCTGCTAAGTGGCCCTGCTCATAAATCCTTCCTTCCCTTCTCGCCAGATGCCTCCCATCCCCGAGGTTCTGCTCTTGTTTTCTTATGCACACTTCCAGAGTTCATCTGTCTGTCCATTTAAAAAGGAATCTCCACCAAGAATCATAGCTTGTAGATTTCCTAACATTGGTAACAAGTTCTCAGGGCGCTAGCCAGGGATACTTAGAGGGGGGTGTTTGGAAGCTTAAGTGAACAACCTGATGAATAGTCGTGGAATCAACCGCATGACTCCCTGTGGAATTCGCCTGCTGTTATTGGGCGCACAAAGGACTGAGCCATGGGGGTGGGTGGTGGGAGAGGGGGACGGGACACGGTGAGAGAACTGTTTGGGAAAAGGACAAGTTAAAGTCCCCAAAGATGTCAAACAAGAGATAGGATTCCTGCTGAGAGCTTACAATAACCAAATTAAAAAGACTGGGTAGAAAAAGGATCAATAAAGATAATCAAACAGGAGATTGTAAATGGATTAATATTGAAAGAAGGGAGAAGAGATTAAAAAAGAAAAAATGCTTAGGATAGACTGTTTTCCTCTTGCACTTTTTATAGAGTAGGCAAGTTAAAGATTGGAGACTGAGTCTCGTCTTAAGTGGAAAAGGAAACGTACTGTGTTGGGTGTGTGCATTTCACTGCAGTTCTTGTCCATTTCGTTTATTTAGTTCCTTCAGTGCTTGATTAGCAAAATTTTTTTTTGAATCTTATGGTCTGTAAAATGCACTATTCTACCACTTTTATCTTTGTTATTCTCCATGTTCCAGGGATACCAGCTCTTCCTGTGTTGTCTGTTAGTTATCAAAGGAAGGATAAAGCACCAAACTCCACTATCAGCTGCTATCATCATCACTGCAGTACATTACCCCAGCCTGTTTATCTTGAGCCACTATTAACACTTTCCTCTCAGAATCACACATTTTATAAATGGTCTGATGGTCAGACCTCCTTTCCCTTCTTCTTCCTCTTCTTTCTCCTTTCCTTGGACTAGAACACTAGCCCATACCCTCAAGGTATGATTTCCTTGTGGTGATGACTTAAAGATCCAAATGAACTATTTCTTATGAATGAAAGTCCAAGTACGATTAACATGGGAAAGTTAATTTAAGCACTTTACAATGTGGACAAGGTTTTCATTCTGTTGTTGAAGTACCGCAGAAATTAGAAGTGTGTATATATCTTCAGATATGATCAAGGAAACAACAGATATTTAAGATAAAACATAGAATAGGCATTATTTGTGAGTGTACTGAGTTTTGTAACTGCGGTTTAGACAGCAGTCATTTTAAATAGGTCCTTGGGAAATTCTCTAGGCTGTAGGCAACAACTTTCTCCTTTCTGGCTATGCCCTAATTGTTTCATTCAGGATTGCTGGGAACTCCTAGCTCCAGGGAATTTGCAGTGTTTCTGACTTCCAAGAATGAAAGATTTTACTAGTAAAAGGCAGCATGTGTGTGTGTGTGTGTGTGTGTGTGAGAGAGAGAGAGAGAGAGAGAGAGATCAGTGTGCTTCTGAATTAGGACCCTCCTAGTTTATAAATGCATTTTATCTGGGCTACACAGCATTGGTATACTGCTTATCTAGCACCAACTAGTGTTTGAGTGTTAACACCACCAAACTCAGGACAAAAAATTACTGAAGTCTCTAATCAGATTGGGATAATTCCCTATTATCTTAACTGATAGTTTTAAAAAAAATATATGTCTTCCTACAAAAGAGTAAAAATTCCTTTATGCATGTTTGCATATTGGTGTGGTATAAACAGTCAGTCAACAATGAAGACAACTAAAGTTTATTACAATTCTGTTGTATACGTTTCCATTGTAGGAGTACAGAAAATTTATGAATTCACATTAGGAATATACAATAAGGAAAAGTAGGCTAGTTTACTTCTGTTTAGAAAAATACTTTTGTATATTCTAGCTTAGAGAATGCTTAAAACTTCAAAGAATAAACTTTCCAAACACTTGCAAAGAATTAGGAATCATTAGATTATAACTGACATTTATTGACTCCCTGTATTCTGGATACTGAGGGTAGAGTTAATTAAGACAGGGTCCTCAAATGCCTCCTATTGTAGTTTGGGAGCTGGTTGTCCTAGTCAGAATTTGTACGGGTCTATTTTAAGCAACCCCCCTAAGGACATGAACAGGGCATGAGCTCTACTAAGCAAACCCTCTTAGCTTATTTAGAATTATTGTTGAGACTTAAATATAACTGTTCTCTAATGTATGCTAGGTTCTCCAATTAGTGCAAACAGCAAGTATGCTCTATTAGGCCTTAACTGCATTTAGCACTTTTCTGATTTAGGTCATGGCTTTGCAGGAGCAGCAGAGGGAGTCACTCTCAGAAGAAACATTAAAATTACCGGCTGCAACCACTTCAGGAAGATAATGGGGAAAATTGTGGGGTTTGAAATTGAGCCGGTGCTATTGCCTTGCAGTTTTAGCCTACATATTTTTTTTCGTTTGAGTTTTGTATTTGTGGCAGTTAAAAACAAACCTGTTCACATTTCCTCACAAATTAGAAACAATGTTTTCTTTGGATAAAGCATGGTATTAGAAGTAAAGTTCTTAAACAATTATTGTGCACTCATATTGCATCCCAGACTGAATGCTGTTTGTTGGAAACGGAATGTAGCGAGGCAGTTTCAGCCCTACAGGAAGACAGAAGTAGAATCATGGAATTATAATTCACTTTCTTAAGTATAAAAGCGGACACAGGTATAGTACTTTCTGGATTCAGACATCTGAAGACAGTAAACATAGGTCAAACTAGGATTCTAATGTGAGTGGTGGTGGGGGGTTCTAAAATTTCTACACAGAAGAACTTGGAAGCAGTGATTTGGCTGGAAGTTGTATGTTCTTGAAGCTAAGTTTGCGTTGCAACAGCATTTTACTTAGATTTAATGCAAGTTTCATCTGGCTCTGGGGAAGCACGAGCTAAGAGCTGTTAGTGGTATATGCTCATTCTGTCAGTTAACACAGTGCTTACCAATGCTTCATAATACTGCTTCCAGCACCTCCAGCTGTGTGACTATGAGCAAGATATTTAACGTTTCCGTGCCTTAGTTTCCTCACATGTAAAAATGAGG